CCCCAGGGATGGCGAGGGGCAAGCTAGGTAAAAGGCAAGCGAGAAGAGGACGAGCAAAGAGAGGAGGAGAAGGGAAGCAAGAGAGGAGAGCAGGAACGAAGAGAGGAGGAGAGGGGGCGGGAGGAGGAAGGTGGAGACCACAGTGCTCTATTCAAAACGAGTACCCAACGCAGGAGGGTTGGGAAATAAACAATCTAACAATCAATCTATCAAACAAACAAACATCCATCCATCCATCCATCCATCCATCCATCCATCCGTACATACATACATACATACACACATCCGAGTGAGGAGGTCGAACGGTCTTTCATTGTCCCTGGGTGCGTGGCTGAAGTGGGGATCCACGGCGAAAATTCTGCTCATTGTTGCGTCGTCCCCTCCGCGACCCGCCCGCGACCCACCCGCGACCCACCCGCGACCCACCCGCGACCCACTCCGCGACCCGCCCGCAATCCACCCGCTACCCACCCCGCGACCCGCCCACGTTCCACCAGCGACCCACCCCGCGACCCACCCGCGACCCACCCGCGACCCACCCCGCGACCCACTCGCGACCCACCCGCGACCCACCCGCGACCCACCAGCGACCCACCCGCGAATCACCCGCGACCCCCGACCACTCACATTGCGTTGGCGAATACCGGCGCCTGCGGCAGGCTCGTTGTATACTTGTGAAAATTAAGCGCCTGCGGCGGGCTGCTTCAGAGCCTCGCAGACTGCAGACGTCCCCTCCGCACCCTCACTCTTACCCGCGACTGCGAGGCGCTACGTACATAAATGCATACCTACATACGTACATACATACATACACACGTACGTACGTACGTACGTACGTACATACGTACATACATGCATACATACATGCACACGTAGGTACATGCATGTATGCATGAATCAACGCAAATCTATACACACATACATACATACATACATACATACATACATACATACATACATACAGACAGACAGACAGACAGACAGACAGACAGACAGACAGACAGACAGACAGACAGGCAGGCAGACAGACAGACAGACAGACAGACAGACAGACAGACACACATACATGCATGCATACATACATACATACATAAATACAGACAGACAGCCAGACAGACAGGCAGACAGACAGACATACATTATGTACACGCATACATACATACATGCATGCATGCAAGCATTCATACATACATGAGTCCGTACAGACAGCCATGCATGCACACATGTGCATGCATACATACATACAGTCATGCATACATACGTATATATACACATGCATGCAGGCAGGCATACAACATACCTACGTGCCGCATACATATAGATATGCATGCAGTCATGCATGCATACACACATGTATGCATGCATACGTACATACACACATAGAGTCATACAAGCATACATACATACATGATTACTTGCATATGCATATATGTACAAACATGAATGTATACGTACACATGCATGCATACATGCATACTTACATACAGCGGTTTACACTTACATACCTACATGCATATATATAAATGCATACATGCATACATCCATGCATATACACATCTACATCCATACATCCAAACATACTGACGTACATACATACATTCCTACATATATGTGTGTCTGTGTATATATATATATATATATGTACGCATATGCATACCTACATACCTATCTACAGCCCTACATACCTACACATATCCGCCGATCCGGCGTGTGATCTACAAGGGGCCTCAGCAAGAGCTTCAGCTCTGAGCCTAAGTAAGAGCTTCAGCTCTGCTTGGGGGGGGTCGCCAGGGTGGCTCTCCCGGGGAAGGGGGGAGAGGGGGGGGGGCGGTCCCCCATCTGGCGTTTTCTTAATGATTTGCGCATCCGGGACTCCCAGGGGCCCCCATCAGATCTAGCCGCTACCGCCCCCAGGACTCTCCCCTCGGAACCCTCCCCGGACCCTCCCCGGGGAAGGAGGGGGAGGGGGGGGGAGGGCCCCTATCTAGCGTTATCTTAATGATTTGCGCATATCGAGGAGGGAGGAGGCCACAGAGCCGCGAAGATCACCGAAGCCGGAGCCCCCCAGATCGGCGGCACTGGCCAGAGGCCATTACAATATGAATACAAATACACATACATGCATAAATACATACAGACAAACAAACAAACAAACGAACGAACGAACAAACAAACAAACAACCAACCAAACAAACAGACAGAACACTGGTCTCGGCCTTCTGGGGGACTCTTCTTGGGGCCTTTTGGAAGCGGCTTGGCGGCAGCTCGGGCCGTCTGGGAAGCCTCTTGGGCAATCTGGAGCCTACCCCAGGCCGTCGCGAGGGCCTGAGGCCATCTGGAATCTCCTGGGCCCGAAGGGACACCGAAAAGGTCTGAACTCGCCACAAATCCCACGAGGCTGAATTCGGGTGCTGGGGGGGGAGGGGGAGGAGGGGGAGGAGGAGGAGGAGGAGGAGGAGGAGGAGGAGGAGGAGGAGGAGGAGGAGCTCCCTCCTTCTCCCCTTGCCTACTGGGTTTTCTCTTGCACCCCTCCCGGCGCCACCAGGCGGAGGGCTGCGAGGCCTCCAGTTCGAAGCTCGAAGGAGGATGGGGAGCGGCACCGGCCAACAACGCAAGGGCGAACAAGGAGGGTGAGAAATCCCACGAGACTGAATTCGGGGGGGGGGAGGAGGAGGAGGAGGAGGAGGAGGAGGAGGAGGAGGAGGAGGAGGAGGAGTTTTGAAAAGAAGAAGTGGACCGCCCCTGGACCCAGAGACCTCGTCGCCGGTTTTATGTACACGCTCAAGCAGGTACGACTGAGCAGACTGCTGTCTGGCCAGACGAACCACTGGACGACCTAGGCAGACAGCTACGATCTGAATGTCACTTGCATATGAACTAACCACGCATCCTGCGACGTGTCTGTACACACCCCTGCGTGAAGAAAACATACAGATGTATGCCTACCAGACCACACATCCCTACAGCGTCGCCGCGATCTGGGAAATATATACATGTCCAGGTCCGCGTTTGCACACACACACACACACACACACAAACACACAGCTGCAATGCCGAGTCATCCTCCTCACCATACTCACCATCCCTCCTCGGAATCGACCGCCGTACCTCTCCTGGGATGCATTCCGACCAGAATGTGAAAGGGGACCCGGCCGTGGCCAAGAAAACATTCAAAGCGCGTGAGCATAAAAGATCTTCTTCCAAATTCACCTTCAATACTTGTCCGAAAACCTCGATCCTCGATCCTCGTCCCTAAACAGTTCGAACCACAATCCTGGTCCTCCAGAAAAACCTCGACCCTCAAGACTGAATCATGCTATTCCTCAAGATGGAAATCGCCACTGATCGGGTTGATGAATAACGAACTGGAACCGAGACAAATCCGAAACAGACTTCGGAGACGGTATACGGAGAACTGCCTGTATCCACCACGACCTCAGCCCAACATAGCCCAACCGGCGCCGAAGCCTAAGAACCACCTCGTCCCGCTCCTCGACCTTCGAACCTTCGATCCAGGCCCAAAGATTCCAGGTTTTGATGTGTTCCATACGGGGTCCAGGGAAAGCCTGCCCCTGCCCCACAGGGCCAGCTTTCCGCTCCCGAGCTGTTTTTTGTTCGACGGCCCTGCAGCCCGGTGAGGGCCCCCCCAGAAGCAGAGATACTGCGGACAACAACTGCTCCACATATAGTTACTCCACACGTGCCACTCAGAGATCTTGGCAACAAGCCAGGCCTCCAAAACGTGCTCTACGAGTATCCATCCCGAGGTGCTCCGGCCCGCTTCTGGCTCTCAGGGGCCTTCGCTGGGCTCCACGTGGCCGTCGGAGACGACTCGGGATGGAGGACCAGCCCGATGTCGGCCACGCGCACAGGGGGGTGGGGGGACGGGGGAAGGCTTCTTAGGAGGCCGCTTCTGAGAAGGCGCCAGCCCTACGGCAGGTTCGTGTCGTGCCGACCCCAGCGTTGGTTTCTGACACCGCGGGGATCGCTCAACCTTGAACGATCGGCCGTCTCCGCAACGTCCGATCGTTCAACATCGATCGATTCTGGGTCGCCGGCGGCGTTCAACCTTGAACGCCCGCGCTGGGGTCGCCGCTGGTCGACACGACGCAAACCTACCGTACATCTATAGACGAGGCCCGCGCCTTCTGAGAAGCAGGGGTGCTTCTAAGAAGCCTTACCCCCTCCCCCATACCCCTGCCCTACAGTCGGACTCGATTGGACAGGACACGCGAAAGGACACAACACTCCTCCGACGGCAGCGTGGCCCCAGAGGACCAAAGGACATGCGGGTTGCACAGGTCGGGATGGACAGGACACAAGGGTACCCTCGATTTGGCACTGTCGACCTACCATTCAGGGCCGACTGTATGGGGAGGGGGTCGGGACTTCCAGGGACCCTACGTCTGAAGGCCTCCCAAAATGGGGCCAGTGGACGGAGTCGGCGGATCGCACCGCATCGCCGACGCATCGCCGATGCGCTGGCGACATTGGGACGGAGAAAGCCAGACGCCGGATCGCGCCGACTCCACCTGATTGGACCCGATCTGCCAGGAATCGAGGACTGAAAAAAACAGGACAACAGACCTCCTACAGTCAAAACGTGTTGACTGCAGGTCATGGGCCATCTCTCTTCGCGCATCGTGCCACACGATGCGCGTCGCGCGACTCTCTTCCCGCCCCCGCGCCTCTGCGCCGCCTCCGCGGAGAAGGACAATCGCTCCGACCCAGACCTCGATGCTCGAAGCGCGACCATCTTCGCGCCCCGACGGGTGGCCTAGATCTGGGGACGTAAGAGGATACCGATGCCGCTGCTCCCCGGACCTCTCCCGCGGTGTGCCCTGGCCAGAAGTTCGAGGCAAGTCCAGCCGTGGCGAGGGCCTTCTCCGAGGCGCCAAGATGAGAAAACGGAGGAAGGGCAGCGGTGTCGGTACTGATTCCTCCTCTGGGGATCTCTGAGGGGCCGACACCTCTGCGGGCGGGGCAGCTGAGCTCGCTGC